GCCTCTGCTTAGACCTCGAGGTCATATCAAATTACTGCCTGACATGCAATAGGCACAAGGATATGGGCCCAGACGAGGAAGTGTGGCAGGCATTCCATGGCCCAGTCTGTGAAAAAAATGCAGACTGTTCCTCCCATGCCATGGAAACGGAGGCTGCAATGCGCATTTGGCAGAGAACATTGACTTATGACACCCCACTGCATTTCATGACATTCTTGAGTGACGGTGACAGCAAAACATATAGTGCAGTTGCAGTCAAAAGTCTATGGTGCTGTCAATATAGAAAAAGAAGACTGCACTAATCATGTGGCCAAGAGACTTGGCACCGCGCTACGGAAGCTGCATGTGCCATTACCACGAGGGCAGAAAATGAAAGAGCCAGCCATTCAGAAGCTCCAAACATACTATCAGATTGCCATAACAAGCAACAGGGGGAGTGTACGGGATATGTACACTGCAGTATGGGCTTCGTACTTCCACTCATGCTCTACTGACAATGCTGGCAGCCACAAGTTTTGCCCTGCAGGAACAGAGTCGTGGTGCAAACATCAATGCGCTGAAGCACTTGGTGAACCTGCACCACGCCACACACCTCTCCTGACAAAAGCACAGGGATTGGCTGTTTTGCCCATTTATAAGCGGCTAACAGATGAGAAGCTCTTTGCTCGATGCATCAAAGGGAAAACCCAGAACGCATCGGAATCCCTGAACAGCAAAATTTGGCTACTTTGCCCCAATACTAAGTTTGTCTCCCGAGCGGTTGTCGAGACTGCCGCAGCTATGGCAATCCTGTGGTTCAACAAGGGTCATGCTACTTTTGAGCACATCCTGGAAGAGCTCAACATACGTCCATCTAGAGATCTAGTTACTTTAAGTGATTCCCGCGATGCGAGGCGCATCAAGAGAATGTCCGAGCGTCTGACATCAGAAGCAAGGACCCACCGTCGTCGTGGAGTGAAAAGGGCACGGCTAGAAGAGAGTGCTCACAAGGACTGTGAGGGCACAACCTATGCTGCAGGACAGTTCTAGTAACTTGCAGTGCTTTTCAAAGTTCTGTTGAACATTATCGCCAAAGATTATGCATTTCTAACAACTCTGTGATAAAAAAAAAAAGGTTCTGTGCTTCTTATACACGCTAGTTCGTATACTTAGAATTGTCATACCTCTATGAAATTTTGCACATAGCATGATGAAGGCCCATAGAGTGCAAGTATCTATTCAGATTGTCAGTGCTGCTTGATTATGTTTTTCAAAAATTACATAACATTGAAAGCCCTTGGCAACTAGAGCCATAGTAAATTTTTCTATTTTATTATTGTATTTCACCTTTTTACACACAAAATTTATATAGTTTTCTGCACTCTACAGTTCCAAAGGATCATAGTCAGCTAATCTGCATGCTTTATCTCAAATTTTTATAGGTCAGAATTGTTGCATAACAATGGCCATAACTTTTCAGTATCTGACCTGCAGAAAGAAAACCAAGCAATCTACATGAAAATAAATGACATATTTGAAAAGAGGAGAAAAACTCTATTAGCATGCCAATTTGTGTTAAATTCAGACTCTTATTAAAGAAAATCGTTTTTCGAGTAGCATCTCCGCTTAACCCCGGTTTGTTCCCTGACCCACTATGCTCTCTTCTTGCCTCTTAAGGTTACACCTAACATTTTCCTTTCCGTTGCTCACTGCATCGTCCTCAATTTAAGCTGAACCCTCTTTGTAAGTCTCAAGGTTTCTGCTCCGTAGCTAAGAACCGGCAAGGTGCAGCTGTTATATACCTTACCCTTGAGGGATAGTGGCAATCTACCTGTCATGATCTGAGAGTGCTTGCCAAATGTGCTCCACCTCATTCTTATTCTTCTAGTTACTTCAATATCGTGGTTCGGCTCTGCACTTATTACGTGTTCTAAGTCGAAATACTCCTTAACAACTTCCAGCGCTCTCCACGTATCACAAAGTGCTGTTTTCTGCCGAGATTGTTGCGCATTACTTATTAATTTTGAGACCTACTTTTCTGCTTTCCGTGTACAGTTCAGTAATCATGAACTGTAATTCGTCCCGAGTTACTCATCAAGGCAATGTGATCAGCGAATCCCAGGTTACTAAGGTACTCTTCATTAGCTCTTATCCTTAACTCTTCCCAGTCTAGGGCCCCGCCGCGGTGGTCTAGTGGCTAAGGTACTCCGCTGCTGACCCGCATGGCGCGGGTTCGAATCCCGGCTGCGGCGGCTGCATTTCCGATGGAGGTAGAAATGTTGTAGGCCCGTGTGCTCAGATTTGGGTGCACGTTAAAGAACCCCAGATGGTCGAAATTTCCGGAGCCCTCCACTACGGCGTCTCTCATAATCATGAACTGGTTTTGGGACGTTAAACCCCACATATCAATCAAATCCCAGTCTAGGTTCCTGAATACCTCCTGTAAACATGCGGGGAATAGTATTGGAGAGATCGTGTCTCCCTGCCTTACATCCTTCATTATTGCAATTCTTTCACTTCCTTTATGGAGAACTATGGTGGCTGTAGATCCACTGTAGATTTCTCCCAGTATGTTTATGTAGGGTTTTTCGATGCCCTGATTCCGTAGTGCTGGCATTACTGCTGATGTCTCGACTGAGTCAAATGCCTTCTCGTAATTTATAAAAGCTATGTATAGGGGTTCGTTGTATTCAGCGCACTTCTCTATTACCTTATTGATAGTATGAATATGGTATATTGTGGAGTAGCCGGTACGAAATCCTGCTTGGTCCTTTGGCTGATTGAACTCTAATATCATCTTAATTCTCTTAGCTATTACTTTTGTAAATATTTTGTAGAAAAATGGAAAGTAAGCGGATTGGCCTGTGATTTTTCAAGTCCTTGACATCTCTTTTCTTATGGATTAAGTTGATGTTGGCGTTCTTCCAAGATTCTTGTACCCTCCTCGTCAAGAGAAACTTTGTATATAAGGTGGCTAATTTTTCTAACACAATTTCTTTGCCATCTTTCAGGAGGTTCGTTGTTGCTTTATCCTCACCAGCTGCTTTGCCTCTTTACATTCCTTCTAGGGCTTTCCTTACTTCTCCTGTTGTTATTGGTACGACGTCGAATTCTCTAGGATTATTATAGTTTCTCCCAATACCATCCTTGTTCTTTTGGCTTCTGTACAGCTCTCTGTAGAACTCCGCTATCTCGACTATCCCATCTATATTAGTTATGACATTGCTTTCCTTGTCTCTCAATGCATACATTCGATTTTTGCTTATAAGCTTCTTTTTTGCTTATATAGCTTTTAGGCTTCTGCCGCTTTTTACAGCCTGCTCAATTCTTTTCATGTTATACCTTCTGATGTCGGCTACGTTACGCCTATTGATTAACTTTGAAAGCTCCACTAGCTCTATTTGGTCAGTTGCATTTGAGGCTTTCATCGTTTGTCGTCTCCTTAAGATTTTTTGTTTCCTGAGATAGTGTACCAGTTTCCCGTCTAGTGACTGAACCTTCAACTTCAATTGCGCACTCTTTGATGGTACTAGTAAAATTATCGTTCATTGTGTCAACGCTAACGTCGGTTATCTGATTTAGTGCCTCGAATCGATTCTGAAGCAAACCTCTGAATTCCTGTATTTTTCCTCTCACCACCAGTTCATTAATTGGCTTCTTGCGTATCAGTTTTTGTCTTTGCTTTTTTCGATTTATGTGTATACGAGTTCTTACCATTCTATGGTCACTGCATCTAATCTTGCCAACTACTTCTACATCCTGGAGAATCTCTGCGTGTGCACACAGAATGAAGTCAATTTCATTTTTAGTTTTGCCATTAGGACTTTGCCATGTCCACTTACAGTTAGCCTGTTTTCTGAAGAAGATATTCATAATTCGTAAATTATTGCGTTTTGCAAACTCTACCAATAACTCCCCTCTGGCATTTCTAGAGCCGATGCCATATGGTCTCCGGCCTGTTTCCTTCTTTCTTTGGCATTAAAGTCGCCCATAAGTATAGTATGCTGTGTCTTTACTTTATTAATGGCTGACTCAACGTCTTCATAAAAGTGTTCGACCAAATGATCATCATGGCTCGATGTAGGCGCGTAGGCCTGTACCACCTTCATTTTGTACCTTTTTTAACCTAACTATGATACTTGCCATCCTTTCACTGATGCTATAGTATTCTTCTATGTTGCCAGTGATATTCTTGTGTATGAGAAACCCCACTCCTAGTTCTTTTCTGTCAATTAATCCACGGTAGCATAGGACGTGTCCATTCTTCAGCACTGTATAAGCCTCATGTGTCCTCCTAACTTCGCTGAGCCTTATTACATCCCATTTAACACCCTCTACTTCATCCAATAGCATAGCAATACTAGCCTCACTAGATAGCCTTCTAGTGTGGAAAGTAGCCATGTTCAGATTCTATTGGCGGCCTGTCTGTACCCAGGGATTTTTAGCACCCTCCGCCAGATCACAGGTCTGGCCGCCTTGGACAGTTGCTTTGCAGCTGCTGGGGACTGAGGGCCAAGGGTTAATTGCTGTGTTCATGGGAGGTTGTGGCCAGGTACTGCACGAGGGTGGCCAATCCTGCTCCGGTGAGGGCTTGCATTACCAGCTGATGGTCGCCAGTGAGGCCGCACCCCAGACTTCTTTTTTTTTAACGATTCCTTGCTCACACATTTTAAGTAGATATACAATTGGGAATGGTTCGACATCTCTATTCGAATCAAATTTTGTCATGGCATGCTTGGCTGCTGCGCTATCTCTAAGTAGATAATCTGTTGCACTCTATTAGCAATGTAGCAAACCGCCTGACCGCCTATAAGCTCCCAACTTCACCTGGCTCGTAGCTCGTCTCACCTTTTTTTTTCCTAGTTGTCGGAAAATCTCATTTTTCTATTAAAAAAAAACAACCCGGAAATTTATCAGTGAGGGCTTTATAAGTGTTCAGTGGCATGTTTTCTGTTCACGTTGTGAATGTGGCACACTCTGTGAGGCGAGCTCTGTACTAAGTGCTCTCCTGTCTTGTTCAGGTTCTAACCTCACCAAAGCATTCAGAAAGCTAGTCAACTGGGAAGCAGATAAGGTGAGTGGAGCATACTCTTTTGAAAATGTTGCGTTAGCATGCAAGGTGATGTGCATAACGCCGTTTCACAATCCATTCACGAAGGCGCATATTGTAATTAATGGAGATCATAAAACGTCTATATGCTTTCTGCATTGACAAATTCGTGTTTTTCTGTCGCAAAACTTTTACAGAATTTACTGATTGAATACTTTTTTGAAATTTAGTCTACCGATAAGTCTGTCATTGTTTTTGTTTTTTTAAGTTTCCCACAGGTAGTAAATTAATGCCTGCTGTAATTATGCATGATTTTGTTTCACTTTTTTTATATTTAGTTGCAGTTTGAATGAATGCTCATTGAAAGACCTTTTCACAGGAAAGTGCCTGTAATTGTAACATATGTTGCAACCATATTCGGACATTGAAATGAGGGCAAGTGATATAACTGTAAGCAGTGCCTGCTGCCGCATGTGTAGGAAAGCTTCTGAGCGAAATTCCGGCATTGAATTTCGCACTCCCTTGTGTTTATAATTGATTGAGTCATTGCTTAATGTAAAAAAATTAAGTTGCTTTAACTTCTTCACAGTTAAAGACCATTTAAGTAGTTGTAGTTTCAAGCTTCCTGAGCACTCCTTCATAGTTCGGAAGCATATTTATTTAATGAACAAGCAGAAAATATAGCATAACAGTCTTTGCATTGAAAAAGTGCTGCTGTAGCAATACGATGAAATCAGTTTAGAGCAAAAAAAAATGTTCCTAAAGTGTATATTTCCTTTTGTTGTGAGAGTGCAGGTTGAGTATAATGCTTCAAAATTTAGCAATCAGTTTTTTTTTCTTTCTTTTTTCATTGGTAGAAGGTGCACGTTGTCTTTGACACATACATTTATACATGCTCATGTCATCATGTGTCCTTTGGCTATTTCGTTTCCCTCTTATTCGAGATGCCCGTCAATATTTCATAAATTCCCGAGATGCACATGGTTTTGTGGACCAGATGTTAATTCATAAAACTGAATCACCTATCCTAAATTTATAGTGAGCCCATTCCCTCTGCAGTGGCTCACATGAGATTTTCTGCAGCTGAACTTGATTGAGCTAGTTGTGGTCATTTCGATATGCAGTCGCAACAGCCTCGTTATCATAAAGGCAGTGTACAAAAACCCAAAGGTGGTGAATTTTGTTTGCACGTTGAGGAAGTCTAATTGCTGAAACTTAATCTGTAGCCTCTCATTGCAATGTCCTTGGTGGTAAACTGAGGTTTTTGTTTCTTTTACTGTATCTTTACGATGGTATTTCACGTATGTAGCTGCAACCTTTCAGGCAAGCTGCAAAGCCTGTGATAATCTTTTGTGCTTAAGTCTAGAGGCGGCATATTTGTATTTATGTGTAATTGGGTGTTGTGCGTTCTTGTGCAGACTGAAGAGGACATGGCATGGCAGGTTGCCGAGATGATAGTCAAGGACATCTGCCGCGTCACGCTGTGTCCAGATGACACCTCGCAAGACGTTGGATAGGTCACACCTTATCACATTATGCAAGTAGTAAGACATATTTCCCCCACTTATGCTTCTCTCGCATGTATCGTCATCATCTGTACTAAAGGAAGCCTAATGAAAAACAGCGCAGAATGAAGCTAAGAAAGTTGAAAAGAGGATGTTAATTGTACTTTTTTAAACGTATTGTGGTAATTGGAATATGGATGTGAAGAGAAAGTGAAGTGTAAAAGAAGACTGGTTCTTTCTGTTAGGGAGTGAACGTGCGATTCAAGTTGAAGGGACTGAACCTGCAACGTCTGATTCCCGATAAGGTTTTATGTTCCCCCAAACTTCTACCTTGTCTGACTCTCTACATTGCATATTTATACACAGATGATCTGCTTGGTAATAACTCGTGTAATGAACGCACTTTTTTCTTGAAAAATCAGAGCAAAGTTGGGAGGTGCGTTTATTATGCGGGGTAAACTTTATGAAAACGTTTTCAGGAGAAGGAAAAAATGCGTTAATGCAAAAAAAGTTAGGTCTCTTAGCCTTTCACAATTTAGATACGCGTACACTGTTTGGAAACAGCTTCTTTGTTGCACTTCGATCATTTTGGGTGATTGATGGGGCTGTATACTGCAAGCTGTCTCCAGGTTGCCCACGCATCATAAAAACCGCTTTGCGACTATCTTTTCTGGCAATCTTTAACCGCAGCAATGGTATCTGCTTGTGATCTCGAGGGGTGCCCAAAAGCGTGATCTCGAGGGGTGCCCAGAAGCGTGCACTCACGGGGGAAGGGGGAATGAAGGGATAGTAGGAGTGAAGAAAAAAGAAAGCAGGCTAAAAAAGAAAGGGGGGAGGGTCACAGGAAGCGACCAACCTTGTTTGGTGACCTTCCTTGGCTGTGTGCTTATCAGCTGCTATGCCTCTACACTGGCACACCTTGTCAATCCCACTGTGGTGCTCAGATAGGATGGGGGACTTCCTGTTCCTGCACAGATTGAAAAAAAAAAAGCAATAGGCACGCAGCAATGGGGAAGGCAGGGGAGGCAGCGGAAGTGGTTGAGGGGGGTCGGCAGTGTAATAAAAAACGGGAGCCAATGGGTGAGGAGGCACCAGGTGGTGGTTAGAGGAACTGCAGCGGATGAGTGTAGGGTATTGGTTCATTACAGCTAGAAAGAAAAGCAATAGGACACGCAGCAACAGGCAAAGTGGGATTGGGGAGCGAGCCAAGGCCGAGGTGGTTGAGGGGGGGGTTGGCAAATTAACCAAAAACGGAAGAGATTGAACTGGTGAGAAGGTTTCTTTTTTTAGCTTGAAGAAATAAGTTGGTAACCTTTTGAATACAGTCGATCCCAGATATATCAACTCGAAGGGGATCGTCAAACAGTGTGATATATTGATAATTCAAAATACAAGATATGCCTATTTACGGCCTAAATAAGAGCTTTTCAGGCCTCTGAAATCATTCAAAATGATAACACGACAATTCACCCGCAGTGTAACAAAGAACAAAGTGTGAACTGCAAGTTACTGCATCTTATTTCACAAGAAAATAGTCTGTTCACTTGTTTTGCTTCTTGCGCACCATCAAGTTTCAGTCATCCTCAATATCACTGAAGCTTTTCAAATACTAACTAAATTGAGCTCCTTCGGCCACAACAGCGTTGATTGAGGCAGAACACAGGTGCAAGCTTTGTAGTACAGTAGACGTTGGCTAGCGGCAGCAGCGATGGCGGTGGCATATTCATAAGCGCACGGGTACACTTCCGCCGCGCCGGCAACGGCATCCAAGATCGCAGTATCGATGCAGTCAGAAACAGCTACGTCATCATCTGCACTGATGACTTTGCTCACTGTCTGAGATGGCGTCTGAAAACGCTGAGAAGTTGCAAGATTCACTGAAGCACTGCACGTTCATTGACAATAGTCATAACGCACCCAGAGTCAACACCTGGTCCTCAAAGAAAGTTATGATTGTGCTTTGCTTGACGTCGCTCCCAGCTCTAGTCATAACTTTGATCGCTACGTGCTGGTCAATGTTCTGTTCAACTCTGGAATGCGCATTTGTCGAGAAAGTGGGGAGAAGTACACAGGTCTAGAAGGCATAAAAAACAACGCTGACCCATGGTGCAGAGTTCCTACCGTCGACCTGTTGGCGGTATCGATATCACTTGTGGCTTTGTAATTGGCCCCCGCTGCTTTCAGCTGCTTTCACACGAAAAGGTACACAAAGTGTACCCTCCGATACATGCGTTTTAAAACCAAAAACACTAAAAATATGTCCAAAGGTTGCACATCACGAAGGCCATGTTTTTCTGGCAAGCATGCCGTTGTGCGCTAACAAACAAGGAAGGGAATGCGAACATTGCAACGAGATCACTGAGTCACTTGACATTCTCACTTTGGTGCCTTCGGCAATTGGTCTTTTGAAAAACACTATGCCAGCACAATAAGGCCTCCTGATCCTGTGTCAAACATACCGGTGCACTCGCAAGCGCCGTGCAACGAGCCGAATCAGCGCTATAGAATAACACTGCCTTTTCGTCACCTGCGCGTGAAGAAGGATTTGAACCTATTAGAACACGGGCCAAAAATTGATAAATTTTTTCTAGGAAAAATGCACTTTTTGGGCTTCGGTGCAGTGCAAAGTTCGATATAGCGGATGTCTCGCTGTGTGGGAGTTTGATATACGGGTGCACCGGTCCCACACTTTTGCATGAGAAACTAAAGGAAATTTTTCAACTGTTCGGTATTGCCAGCCATTCTATGTACCAAATTAGATATGTACAGGATAAAACTATGAGCTTCCTGCCTGGTAGTACCTTGCATTGTCAGACTACTGCCACACAACCATGAGGCAGACGAGAACAAAAAGGACAACACCTCAGTGCCGTGGTAGTGTCTTTTCTCTCCCATCTGCCTCGTTACTGTGCACTTTAAAGCTATTCTTTTATCATGAATGACCCTTATCATCATTGCTTGATACAAAATTTTAACAAGACAGCGCTGAAGAGCTTGTTCTACAGGAATTCTATGGTGAGCGTTATTGATGTTGGCATCTGTAATTGTGAGCAAAAATCAGCTTCTGCTAAGAGTGCTATTTCGAGGTAGATGCAAATAAGGTGCCTGCACTGTGGCTTTTCCTGCAGCACAGTTTAGGTCTTTGCCGAAAAGCAAAGGCAGGCTAGTGATTGGGAATATAGCACTAGAGTGTGTGCATAAGTGCAGATTGGTGTTCAACTCGAAAAGGCAAAACTTAAGGGTCCCCCAATTTCTCGTGTCGCCAAACTGTTGTTTTTCGGTCTCCTCAGTGATGCTCCTGAGACAAAAGCCTTGGATCTCTTGCAGGACTTTGTTGTTTTTCTCCCTCTACCTCGGTGCTTCCACATGGCGTCGATGTTGAGCAAAGAGTGCCAAGACCGGGGCGGACCTCGGCAGTCAGCCGAGCAGCCCTCGGGTGGGAAAAAGAAGCCCCGGCATGTGCAATGTCGGCCCTGAGGAAGAGTTCGGCCCCTGCACGGAGAAGGGGACTGAAGCGAGAGACGGGTTGGCAACCGACACAATAAAGGACACACGTGCCTAGCGCCACTAGCCTGCACTGCCTGTCGTTGTGATAACAAGCTGGTGCTCGGCCACAAGAAAGGGCGGCAGATGAACGACGTTGTTTCTCCCTGCCAGCTTGTCTCGACAGCAGGCGGGCTTGTGTGCTTCTTCTAAAAAGATGAAACAATAAACTCCTGCCTCTCCCCCTTTTTTTTACTGTTAGCACTTGTGCGTGGTGTTTTTTTTTCCTTGGGTACATAGTAACACTCTACCGAGTAGGACTTGGCAAATTGGAAGCAAACAAATCTGCGATTGGACGTCAAAGCATGCACAGAACACAAAGGATGTGTTGTGCTGTGTTGTTGTATGTCGTCCTTCGTCTATGTGCAGTTTTTTTTTTCTGCAAAGATTCAACTTCACTATGGGAATAAACATGATTCTGGTCTTAAAGGTGCATTATGGAAGTGTGAAGACGATATGCACCAAAAGGCATACCTTGCCATTTTTTCTTTTAGCTGCACAAGTCTAGCTCGGGGTTTTATTAACCAAAGCTATAATTATTCTAGAGGGGTAGTAAAGTTTGTTGGTAGCACGTGGGGGTTGTTCCTACAAACATACAATGCAGTGTGCATGTTCTTGCCTAATTGCGTGGGCACACCCAGATGCAGCAGCAAAAGGATTGTAAAAAACGTATTCTCTAATGTCAAGACTACGTGTACAAGATTTCTCCTTAAAAAATTGGGCAACACAACGGTATGTATATTCAACGAAGACAGATTTACAGATTTTAGTCTTTTTGACAATGCTGCATCATCTGCAAGTGAATAAAGGGACCGGCAGTAAAAACCAGAGGAGTCTTGCAGTGAACTTGACGTAAAGGAGGAAGATAGGAATTTTTACATTGTTCCCATTTTCATTGTGGAGTTCCTCGCATGCTGTTTATTTAATTAGAAACCCGATTTCCCATCACACATGGCTGCATAATATCAGTGGAAGATGCCTGGCTTCCATACGGACAGTGCACTGAGTGGAATGGATCTTGAGGAGTTACTGACAGGACCCCCTGACAGGGGGGGGGGGGGAGGGGGGGAGAGGGAGGCGTTGTGATTGCTTGCTTCGGCCGTGTAGAGAACAGGACGCCATGACGCTCAGTCTTCTCCTGGACCCTCTAGATAACCTGGGCTTGCTTTCAGAGCGTCGCGTTTCTGATGGCCTCCTCCCACTCTGCTTCATTAGAGAGATAGACTGTTGTTGGGCAATATGGGGCATCACCGGAGCGCGCGAGATACAGAACAGACAGTTTCACTGTTGTGGATGTTCTTGTAAAGGTGCCCTGCAACACTTTTTTAGCGTGGTCAGAGAATGCACGAGACCTTGAAAGGGAGCAAGAACTGGCTGCACAATGTTAGCCACAGCACTCTGCCTGCACATGCGCGAGTAAGCTTGGAACGTCCGGGCAATCTGGAGACTTCTGCTCTGTGAGCGTATTTTTTCGGTTGGGTACAACTCGGGATGAGAATGTTTGGTCCGCTCATTTTTAATGCCTCAGCACACAGACACAACACACGCCCTTCAAAAGGTTTCGTGAAGTTTTGCAGGCAGTTGCTGTAGAGCGTGAGTTAGTAGCGCGATAGAAAAAATTATGAACTATTTCCTTGAAGGGAATCCTGATGGGTTGTAAAGCAGCAGCAGTGCGCATGGCGTTGACCTGGTTGAAACGGGCGTCAACGCGACTAGAACGGTCTGAAGCAAAACTCGGTGAGGTGTTTACTAGAGTAAATGTTCGAAAAGCAAAAACACGTGAAGTAGTTTGGGTTTTGTGTAAGTTTCATCGCAGATAAAGACTGTTCACTCTGTGTGCGCTCGAACGTTGCGAGCGGTGGAGAGCGTGAAGCGAGAGAGATGACAGGTGGCGACAAGCTAGGGGGATAGTGACGTAAACGTGCGCGCACTGGGAGGGACGGCATGACCTACTTGGCACCGCCCCAACACCTGCGGACAGAGGGACAGCATTACGTAGGCTAGTCAAAGAGTTGCTTCGCATCTGAAAGCTACTGATCGGTAGTCGAGGCTCCTGGGAACGTGCGACCCAAACAGTTTAGGGCAGCATGCTGTCTGGAAATTGAGATTGTTTTAATACCAGCCAGAAATCAGTTTTCCTTTTTTTCAACTAATGACGCCCTATACCCAAATGTCTGCAACATAGCATACTGAAATTCACAGCCACTGGCTGACTGAAGCATCGAGGGCTGCGTAGTTGTCAAGGTCACGAAGTGCCCGTGCGAGCGTTCGAAGAAAAAAAAAAGCAAAAGTGCTGAAGGTCATGATGCACGCGTGATTTATATGCTTATTAACCCAGCTGCCGATCCATGAGATCCCAACACGCTCGTAGGCATGAGAGCCGATGCAAAGCAACTGCAGCTGATCCCTGTAACTCCACTCATGCTTGACGAACTCTAAAAATTGTTGCGGCCATTCGATAGTTCATAGAAAAGGGTTGCGAGGCTCCTATAAAGGCACCGACGACCAATTTTTATGGTACTTATTTTTTAATCCAACAAAAAGCTTACTACGATCAGTGTCTTAATAACGAAATGGTAATGGAGAAAACGCCGTAAAGAATTTGCGGTGAATATGAAGCTTACACGTCACAACACATGCTTCATACAGCCAGCGAGCGCGAGAGAATTTCATGTTCAGGCATGGTGGTTTACTGTGCGAGCGCCGAAGCTCAACTTTTTCCACTGGATGCTGCAACCGACAGAGAACTCGTCCAGCACTACGCTTGTATGAACAAAAGAAAGCCAGAACAAGGGAACCGGGAAACTGAGGAGGAAGGTGCTGCCCATGTTGAACTGGTGGCCCCGGTAAAGTCGAATCGAAGAGACCTTGTACCGCTTCACATCATACATCTATTTTTACCTCTCAAGCAGTATAGAAAGAGTGTGTATAACTAATTTTAAATTCTAATTATTATGCTCGTACTACAGAATCATACTACATGAACAAAACCGGAACAACAGTGCGAAGGGCCCAGTTAAACAAAAAATAAGGGGGCCCCTCTCCCTGCACCCTTTTATCCCGCTTGGTCATCTGGTCGTGCTTGAGACTTGACAATTTTTAGATTTAGCTGCAAATAACACAAGCTATATTTATTCTTCGTCTTAGGAGCCTTGCGAGTGTTTTTATTTCTTGCAAAGCACATGGAGAGATTGTCATCGTAATAATTAACTATATCAGGAGACGAAGACACATGGGCAGCATTAAAATTTGTCTGGTTCTTTGGAGACAAAACTGTGCGAGAAGTTAATATGAAAAGAAAGAATGCATACGACTTTTGGAAGTGCAGTCGAAACACAGTGTGTGTTTCTTGCGTTCGTTTCAACCTATAGCGTTGGTTACTCATATTTAAAAGGGGCCCTGCAACACTTTTTGAGCATGGTCAGGAAACACTGCCGATCGGTAGTAGAGGCTCCTGACAACACGCGAGCTAAATAATATAGCACAGAACTTGGCCGGAATTCACAATAAATTATCAAAGTCAGCTAAAAATTGCTTTCTCTTCTCTCTACAAATCACGAAAAATAAGCCCAGTAAGCCCATCTATCAGCCATTGGCTGATTTGGACATAAGGCACTCGGTTGTTACAGAGTTCGCTGTGAGAGGTGGTCACTTGTCCACGCGTGCGCCCGCGATCGCACTTAAAACACCCGTATTCCAAAAAAAGAAAAAATGCTCAAGGTCACAAGGCGCAAGTGACTTTTTTTTTGTTTGCCCCTCCCTTCCCTTCCTGCTCAGATTCTAGCGCTTTCGACGAGAGACCAAAGAATGTGATTACAGCGTGTGGCAAATTTTTGTAACTCTGCTCGTACTGGACGGATTCTTACAAATGTTTGCGGCATTCAATTTGTGTGATAATACGCTTTTCCAGTGAATCAATTCCATGGTTACTCAAAAAAGTGTTTCAGGGCCCCTTTAAGAGAGGACATCTTCCATGGAAAATCAGGGAGCGCAATTGTGAACAACAGCTTCCTTTATCTGTGTCAGCTCCACAGATTCAATAGCGTACCCTTTGGTTGCCTGCGTGCGAGCAGTGACGAAGTCTACAGGTGGACCTTGTTCAGAAACTGTTCGCACGTACTATCAGTAAATAGGCTACCCGTCATCTATAGCTATTTTCGATTTCATATGGCACACATTTCAGCTCTTCTAAAGCAGTATTTCTATATAGTGCTGTTATGCATATTGTATGTGCCTATTGATCGCAACAAGTAACACAGATGGTCTAAAATTAAAATACTTTAAAAGTAGGAAGGGGTGGGCAAAATCTTTCGTAAAAGGTGGTGCCTATAAAAAATGAGATCCATGTAGAACATTTACAAAATATAAACTCAAAAAACGACCACGCATAATTTCATTTAAACACAAATTGTTCACTTTAAACATGTCATAGGGTTACATTTTTGCAGGAAATATTCACGTTCATAGGGCTTCAGTGCTTCAAACGATATTTCTAGCAGAAACCACTCTTTATGCCCCTTTGCATTGCGTGTCAGACTGCAGCTGCTAAAATCCTCTTCAGGCTGCTCTGTGTGTCCATCCGCTGTATCAGATCCTCCCCTCCACATGCTGCATATTCTTGGGCGAGTAAAAGGTTTTAAATGCGAATGCATTTCTTAGTCGGGCTATGTCAGGCATCCGTCGGGATCCGTCCACCGTCCTTTCCCATAGCAACAGCTGCAAGCACGCACGCTTATGTTTGCTGCTAGCAACCGCAGCATGTGGTGCGAGAGAGTGTAGGAGAGGGTAGGTGCAGTGCTTCACTGCTCCTTTTTTTTCTTTATTCAAGTGTTACCCTGCACCGCTCTTGGGCGTTACAGCAGGGGGGTTTACAACAGAGATACAAATAGGTCTTCATTTACACAACATGCTTGTTCTTCAGAGAGCTTGTTCCATTCGACTACACACTTCGGAAAAAAAAAATCGCAAACATGCACGTCTTACGGGGTCCTCGTTGATGCCGGCTACTAATGTTATGAATTTGAAAATAAAATGTGCCTCACGCTGTTCCCGCTCGCGCCTGTTTGAGAAACCGGACTGCAAAAGAGTTACGCTGATATTTTCAGAACTGTGGTTTGGCAGGCGCGGATGTCTAGATAAAGGTAGCTTCAGCAGTGAAGTGGCGTAGTACCGGTGATTATTGAACCGCAGCCGAAATGGCGTGT